ATGGAATACAAAGATACAACAATATATATTCATTGGGGTTCTTTTACTTGTTATATTTTACTCCCCCCACCACCACAGACATTATTTGACATTATTTGACAACATATTTTTGGTGGTTAAGAAAGGTAATTATGAATGTGGTGTTTTGGTGGTACAATTATTGTTTAGTATGTTTGGGTCAGTGGTTGTGGCTATAAGTTTAAAATTAAGACAAAATGACCGTAATTATTTGCTGTACATACAGTAATAAATATCAGCGTTCTTGTTGGCGAGAAGCAAAGGCTGGGTGTGGGGACTCAATTTTGCCGTCTTAGTGGCCTGTTGATTGTTTCGGACAGTCGTTGAACTGGATTTTGGTGGAAATATAATAAAAGAACTAGAAACATTAGTAATGACTATCAGATTTTGGTTTGAAAATGTTGTCTCGACAAGTATCACTAAATGATGCTGCTCAATTATCTCTCCTTGTCCTTTACCTCTTGAGACCGCAGTATTTATAATGTCAGGAATAGTCCATTATTCTTATGGGTAAGTTCCATAACAATTATAGAATCAATATCTAAATTGTCATTAAACATATTATCATTCACAATATTATCTTCGTCCTGTTCAAAATTATCTTCGGCTTCTTCATTCTCTTGCCAAAGGATGCCATCTTCAGAGCCGTCCATGGCTGTCGTGAAACAACATTTCTTGAAATCTCTCTTTATAACATCCTCACTGACGAAATTCCAAGATTCCTGAAACCATTTTACAAGAACTTCCAACTCTGGTTTTTTCATTATTTTAGCTGCTTAGTTTCGATTCTATTCTTTATGTCAAGATCGACAAAATATCTTCGTAAATATTTTTTTCTGTTTTTGGGGTTTCTTTTTAATTACAGATGCGTATTATACATAGGGATAGATATATTTCGTAATTTTGGGATCATTTGTTGGGGTGAGTATTATTTATGGGTGCGTATTATTTTCGAGAAATTACCGTAAAAGGGGTAATCGTGATAAAAGTGATGACTGGAATTTTTTAAATATTTTTTTTGAGAATTTTCAGTAAGACTCCTGTTAAGTGTGTTTCCGATTCCTTCTAAATTTTACTTCAACTCAATACTTCTGCAGTCTCCGCTTAAATGTGAAATGTTTGTTCCATGAATGGCGTTCGATGAAATTCTAAAAGGAGTTGCAAGAGATAAGGATATTGTGTTGACAAAGAAAAGAAAAAAACTAACAAAAGAAAACAAGTAATGAGTTTCAACTTCCGGCAGGAATAAGTCTGCAACAGATTCGTCTTCAACCGCAACACTTGTAGCCAAAATCCAGTTCAACGACTGTCCGACGTAACAATTAGTTTTCACACACCCAGCCTTTTCTTTCGTCAACAAGAACGCCGATATTTATTACTGTATGTACTCAAATTGGCAAGGCCAAAAAAGGGGTTGGGGTAAAGGACGGTCATCATTTGTCTTAATTTTCGCTAACAACCATGACCCAAACATACTAAACAATAATCCTACCACCAAAACACCACATTCATAATTACCTTTCTTACTACATCCACCAAAATACCTCATTGTCTCAATGAATCTAATTAACCCCATATGTACAAATAATGTCTGTGGTGGGAGGAGGGGAATAAAATATAACAAGTAAAAGAACCCCAATGAATATCTTATCTTATCTTATTATAAAACCCAGGTTGTTTGTGTGTGTGTGTGTGTGTGTGTGTGTGTGTGTGTGTGTGTGTGTGTGTTTATATATTGGATTGGATTTCATACATTTTTCAACTGATTTCAACAAAACTTCACAGGACTACGTAAAATTACCTTGTGGTGGTTCTGACAGCGCCAAAAATTGGAAAAACACAATTGTTTTTGCATGAAATCAATTTGAAAACACAATTAAGAGGCATCACTTTTGCGGAATGAAAGGGGGACAACTCATATCGAGTTATACTTATCATAAAACCCAGGTTGTGTGTGTTCTTTCATTTATATATGGGATCGGATTTCATACATTTTTCAACCAATTTCAACAAAACTTCACTTTTTTTTTGGCAGGTAGTGTTTCTTATTGTCTTGCACACTTTTTTCTTTATTTTTACATTCAGAATGCTTTAAAAATTCCATTTACAAGACAATTGTTTATAATAAAATTCTATTCAATCGGTAGACTCATAACGACTGAAAACAATGTTTTTGTTTGAGTTTGGGTTTGACCAATTCGTAAAAAAAAAAAGAAAAAAAAAGAAATGAAACTAATTAAGACATGCGTGTCCGTCAACCTTAAACAATAATCTTTGTCAATTTTATTTTTCAGTCTTTATGATGGTCGATACTTAATCTATCTCTTACTGTTACATCGCCGGGCTCTACTGCTAGTATACAATATGACTTAAAATTATTTACATGAAACTAAACAAAATCATGTTAGTAATACCCCCCCTGCAAATCCTAAATGTGACAGTAAAATCAATTAACTGGACGAAATCGACACGGGACTTTAAAAAAAATATATAGAAAAACATTCATCCCTCCCAAACACTCACACAAACATGCACTCATTGTGACACAACAACAAATACGAAAAAACATACCCTCGAACGAAAGTCGTTCCGCATCCACCAGAGAATTGAAGACACTGACCACCTAACGAGGGATGGGATAGGAAGTTAAACTAAACGAAAAGAAAAGGGGACAGAAAAAAAAGGGGGGGCAATGAGCAAACATACCCTAGCTAAGTTTTAGAAAAAGAAAAGAAAAACTAAAAATTCAAAACCAAAAACCTACTCGAGCCGAAAACCAGGGATGGGTTGCCCAAGCTCAATCCAGGAAAACAATATCCTGATGCCTAACCGAAGTTGCAAACGGTTGGCTAAGATCTTCGCTAAAATCTTTAACTCAGTGTTTAACATGGTTAAAGGGCGAAAATTCCCTAACCCAATCCCACCGTTCTTGTCCTTACGCAGCAACTTGATCACACCTTTGGTTGGTGAAGCGTTGAGGTATAGACCCCTGCTTCATCCAGTGGTTGAAAATCAGTTCCAGCAAAGGAACAAAAACGGGCGACTGCCTCAAGTAATCTTCGTAGGGAAGCCCATCTAGTCCCGGAGATTTATCCAGGCCAACCTGCATCAGCGCTTCCCAGATTTCCGACTCTGTAATGGGACCCTCGCACCTAGCCGCTTCAGCTGCCTCGAGGCAGGGAAAGTCAGCTAAATAGGCATCGAACTGAGCAGAGCTCAGACCGGGCTCCCTGGTGAAAAGATCCTGAAAGTAATCCCGAAAGGCCTCGCATATGCCCGCGTTTGTAGTCACGGTCCGCTTATCCGGCAATGTGACGCACGCTATATGTCGCTTAGACGCGTTCCGATTCTCCTCTGCACGCAGTTCAGCGGCCATGTTCGTCGCCTCAGAAGACATTCTTTTTAGCCTAGCCCTAACTACCAGAGATTGATCCTTCTTGATAAGAAAGGACAACTCTGCCTTAGCTAACACGGGATTTCACGGCCCGATCAACTTTTTCTTCTAAAGCCGTTTGCGCCGCTAAACTATCTCTAATTGAGTCGACGACTAAAATCGGCAGCAAACGTTCTAATTTTGGATTTTAATTTATCCCACGAGGCGTTCCCCACAACCGTCGCCGTCAATTCCCTCTGAATCATTAGTAGCAGCTGGTCCCGGAAACCCTGCTCGCCAAATAATGAATAGTTAAATTTCCAGTAACCAGCCATTCTAACCTTAGGCTTATCTAAGTTTATACGGACCCGGACAAGCCTATGATCCGTATAAACTATATAGTGGAAACTTGGACACCCTAAGAGCCCTACATCGACTCTCTTAACTAAGACTCGGTCAAGGTAGCTAGCAAGCGTCCCAGGAGCCGAGTTGCCACTATTTGTCCAAGTCCATGCTACCCCGCGAGGGTGCTTATCGACAAGATCAAACTCATCGATAAAGTCCCGAAATGATTTCACGTCCGGGTTGTTAGTACCTTGTTTTTGCCCTATACGATCTATATCGGGGTCAAGGACAGCATTCCAATCCCCCGCTAAAACTACCCGACGAGATGTCGTCAAGTACGGCGCGATCTGCCGAAACAAAGCAGGCCGCTCGGCATGGTTATTGGGCGCATAAACCCCAATGAGTCGTAGAACCTTATCCTTTATGGTAACATCCAGCACGCAAAGTCTGCCCGCCGGATCCGCGAAGACAAGGGTACATGCAGCCTTCAAAGACCTGCTCACTAGCCAAGAGACACCCCTCGAACGACCATCAAAACATGCTGAATAAAAGGCGAACCCCTTAGACAGAATGTCCTCATGGTCATAAGAAGAAAACCGGGTTTCTTGCACACAACAAACATTCACCCCGAGGCGCTGAAGGTCACGAGAGAGCCTCGCCCTGCGAGACTGGGACCTCAGGCCCCGTACATTTAAAGTAGCCAACCAGAACGCCATAGAGAAGTTCGATTAGGGTTGTTTACCTGAATTGAACATGACCGGGTTAAGGATACTGACCGCCTCTCCCATAGATCCATGGCCCATCTCAGTTTTGATGGTACCGTCTTGGGAGATTCCGCCGACATCCGAGGGGAAAGTCAATTTTAGTGCTCTATAAAGGGAGGGGTGAACGAAAACCGGGGCCCTTCCTGCACAAAATTGCTTCATTTTTCTTAACTTTTCAGTTTCTACGATGGCAATGGGCGGGGTCATGCTGAACGAAGTCATTGCCTCGTCCAACATGTCCCAAATCTGTTTCGCCCCCGGCTCAGATCTAATCACTGTTAATATTCTTTGAGCGTTAGGGAAATTGTTAGGGTCATCTATGTCCTTATTGGCAAATTGCTTTATCGACAGGAGGTACTTCAAATTTTTAATTCTGTTGCCATAGTCTTTGGCCTTCTCCGCTTGTAATGGAGAAATTTTACACATATCAGTACCTGGATAATAGATGTGTTTTGGTTTTTTCTCCTGTGGAATCTTGTCTGGGGCTTCTATGTCTTTTGTTAACTGGATGGAGGCATTACAGGAAATTTAGTAGGGGAAGGACTGGGGGTATTGCGGGATGTATATGGTTGTCTAAATGGGCTGGGGTCTCTACTGAGACTAGGCCGAAGTGGAAGGAGAAGCAAGTGGAGTCTTCCCTCTACAAAGAGAGGTTGAGGGACGGGGAGAAGGTGGTGGGTCGAAGGATGTGGAGGGAGTGGATTTCTTTGTAGAGGGGGACTTTGGTTGACGGGATGTAGAGGGCTGTGGAGATTGTGTAATGAGAGTGCTCTTGGACGGAGACGATTTTTTTTCCTTTGTTCATCTAATTTGTTTTTCAGATCCTTAATTTTTTCGGTTTTAATATATCCGGGATCATACTTTTTTTGTAACTCTTCGATGGTCGTAATAGAGGCCGAGGCATCGCCCTTACTGTTGTCAGAGGGAGTGGGGCTGTATGTGACTGAGGCCCCGCTGTCTCACGCTTCCCTCTGGCCCTGCCAACTACCTGCCCTTCCCCCTTTTCCTTCTCAACCACACTTGCAGTGGAAAAAGGCTCTTCGGGGATTGGGGGCTTTGATGAAGACCCAACCGGGGGTACAACCGCTCCGGTTCTGGTAGTCGGCATGCCCATTATAGGCGTGGCGGTTTTTGAAGACTCTGTCAGAGGGGGGGTTTGGTCGATTGGGACCTCTGGGCAGGAAGAGGAGAGGTGACCAGTCACTCCACACTTCCAGCAAACTGGTTTACTGCCGGTCACGATGACCGGCAGCTTCAGGTCACCAACGTCAAGACAGTTGGGGATAGAGCCGAAGGCGTTATGATCGAGCATCATGTCAAAGCTCCATCCCCCAGTCAGGCTATCACAAGAAGCACCCAGAATCTCCCCGTATTGGGACAAGAAAGCCGCCAGGTGCCCTCCGATAACCGAGGAGGGAACTCATATACCACTCTGTACGGTGGATCAATTCTTTTGTTACAAGATCCCTGGTTTGGGCTCTTACGCAGTCTTCGGCGGTGGGTAACAGCACGTCTCACATGAAAAATCCCTTGCCCTTAACAATTCGGAGGGGCTTAAAACCCAGGGACTCCAGTGATTTGAACACTGTGTCTTTAGTCGAACAAATTTTGCGAGATCGCTTGTCGATGACAAAAACTGACACTATTCTTTTCTCGATTTTCTTCAGTTCTATTGGATCCTGCAAGAGCCCACCTTTCACCACAAGGTGTGCGTAACCATTGGCACGCCCCAAGAACTCCGCAATATCGATAATGCATGTAGGAGGGGACTTCCAACAAGAGGGCGATTCCCCGGTCTCTGCATTCGTAGTTGAGTTGTCATTAGTCTTGTCTACATTGTTGCTCTTTTCGGCTTGGAGGCTTTTTTGAGTACTTCTACAATTTCTTCGTTCGTAGGTACTGTGGGAAGAGCGGGATATTCTTCAACATTATCCTTGTCCGGCGGATCTTTTGGATGTTAAATAAGTGTTTTCTAACAGTTCGACGAAAAGAAGCGATTTTCGTTTTTTTTTCTTTAAAATTAAAAAAGAAGGTACTTTTTTTTCCTTCTTATCCATTTTTCAAAGAGAAGTGGGTGGGGGTGAAAAAACGTGGGGGAAATAGTTTAAAAAGTTTCGCCTTATTAAATAAATAAATTAACAGTCAAAAACTAAAAAGGCTCTCCCGAGAGCAAGACAGCAATGAACAAATAAAATAAATATGCACACACACAAAAAAAATTACATGACGAGAGAGAACAAATAAAACAAGGTTCACTTATACGTATAACAAATTTTAAAAATTACAATAAAAATTAGAAAAACCAATAAAGGACAAATATCGCCTAAAGGCGAAACAATAAAAGAAAACACGATAAGGAAAATAAACAATAAAACAAAAACGTTAGACAATGAAAAAGGATAACAAAGAATATACGAAACTTCGACAAAAGCCGAAGCTAGTTACAAAAAATTCAAAATGGCTGACGTTAAGGAAAGCGAGTCGAACCAATAAACAAAAGAAAATACGAAACGTGGACAATAGCCGAAGCTAGTTACAAAAAATTCAAAATGGCCGACACTTAAGAAAAGCGAGTCGAACCAATAAACAAAAAAGAAAATAAACAGATAAATTGGACAATTCAACGATTACAGACAAAAAAACACGTAAAAATTAAAGGAAGGAAAGAAACAATTAAAATTCATCAAAAATTAAAGCGAAACACAGAATAAAGAAAACGAATATAGATTTAAAAGAAATTAAAGAAAATGAAAATCAAAAAGGAAGACTAGAATTAAAAGGGGGCAAAAATGAAAATCAAAAGTGTAAAGTAGAATAAACGAAAAAAGAGCAAAAAATTAAAGGGGGTAAAAATGAAAATCAAAAAGCAAAACTAGAATAAAAAGAAAAAGAGCAAAAATTAAAGGGGGGTAAAAATAAAATGGAGAAAAGAAAGAAAAATCAAAAAGAAACTTTTTCAATACAGTCGTAAAAAGGTAATAATAAAATAAACAAACTTAACGAAAATAAAGTTCAAACGCAAAAGGGTAAAATCCGACAAAAAGAGTCAACGGTCAAAAAAAAAAAAAAAAAAATGACAAAAAGTCAAGGAAGTCGGACTCAGTGAGCGACTCTCGCCAGCAAAAACGCCCCTGTCTCTCCCAAAAGACGGCTCACTTTATACAGCCGAGGACCGACCATCATTTACATACGAATTACTAGCCAACGAGATTTCGCGTTAGTCGTCCGAGACCACCTGTCATAAAACATGGGCGCCGCCATTTTGATTCTTTTTTCGTCGTCGAGCAACCGGACTTTATATGACGCACAGATTCGTGGACGTTACCAAGGTAGGCCATGCTTTTCTTTCCTCGTTCGTCCAATATTTCATTTTGCCAGGGTCTTCTGCTACATTTGCGTAAGCGTCCACTATTCTGCTAACATATTACGCATGCCACTCGTTGCCTCTTAGAACTGTAGTCAGTTCAGCAGAACCCACAGACTGCTGCCTTTCAGTTCCGCTACAGACATCCTAGGTCAGGCTTGCTCAAGTAAAATCCTGTAAAAAGGGCCACGCTGATCACAGAAAATTAGAGGTGAGTCGCAAGGGTCATATTTTAGATTAAATTACAGAGTATGAGGGAATTAGAAGCAGATATAAAGAGGCGTGGGTGTTGAGAAAAAAATTTTTACCAGATAATTATTTAGATATATAGGCAGGAAAATATTTGTTGAATATCGTCATATATCTGTAAAAAAAGAAAGCATTTACGATTTTGAAAACACCTTGGGTAGTTTCATGCGACCTCACAATTTCGCAATTTCTGCAGGAGTGTCCGAGGTAAAGAATAACTAAATGCAGGGTGCGTTGGATAAATTGTCGTCTCAATGACGCAAAAATGAAAATAACACTGACATCTCATTTTAACAGATATATTTACTAAAATTAAATAGAAATATCTTGAAATACTAAAAAGTAAATTTATGCAATATAATCGTCATTGGCTTGAACCATGACGACTTCGGAATCTCCTGCAACTCACTCTACGGTCTCCGTATTTAAATTGGTAAATGCTGCCATAATCCTTTCCTTTAGTTCATCTTTGGTGATTTTTTTTTTTTTTTTGTCTCTCGCTCACCTTCACTCGACACATAATAATCAAGTAGGTTACAGTCTGGAGATTTAGGTGCCCAGATGTAAGGGGTAATGTAACAGCAGAAATTGTCTGACAGCTATGACTGGGTTCACCTGCTTGTGTGGCATGGTGCAGTGTCCTGTTGTCAGGCATAGGGTCTTCCAGAGGGCAACACTACTTCCTCAATGCTCTTCATGTAGACCCCCGTGTTGAGTCTGAGACCCTCACCGAGAAATTCAGGAGTCCTTTTCTTATTAGAATGATCTAAGTGAGTTTTCTGAGCAGCCGCATCTTCATAATCACCATTAGACTCATCCAACTCTTTTCGAATCCTCTGCACTGTCCTCAGATTGACACCGAAACACTTTGAAATATACGTATTGGTGCTTCCGGTGCGAATGCCAAGCAGTGCAAGTGAATTCCGTTATGATGCTCTTTTTCTTACAGACGGTTCACAACTGAACCTATAATAGTTCAATTAAAATCCCCCCTGTCTAAGAAATCCTAGGAATTTATTCACTTAAGACGGGTATATGGTCACATGAAATCGACCCTTAAGCGACAGCGATTATTAATTGATTTTTCTTTGCAGGTCAATGGATGTCATCAGTTGGTAATTTTTTCTCCAGCGACTGGGGCATCATTCATTCATTATTAGAGCATAAGTAAATATGAGTGGAAAGATTCACGTATCGTATGCTTCACACTCGCCTCGGCTTTTTGAACAGGAGTAGAGGTTTATCCCTTGTTTCCTGTTTAGGAATGAATTTCCGGTTCCTTCTAATTTCTTCTCCAACTCTATACTTCTAACATTTTCGCTTAAACTCTGAAATTTATACTATTTATTTATTTTCTTCATTTTATTTTCTACAATAGAAGTAGATAGGTTTACCTCTCGTGTGATTGAAGCTACCCCACCCACGCGGTCTTTTGTACAGGAGAAGAGATTTATCCCTTGTTTCCTTCGCTTTCATTCCCAGTCGCCTCTTGTGTTCTGCTGGTGTGTTCCCCTTACTTGGGATGAACTGATTTTAAAAATGATTAATTAGCAATTCTAGGATTCCTGAGGTTATTATTTACTTAATCATGGGTTTATGTTTTTCCCTGTAAAAAAAAATGAACAAACCAAAGGACGTACGATATCTATTTGCATAATCCTCGAAGAGAAAAGAGACGGAAAATGGTGACCACTTGCTCCAAAGAAAAGATGTCTCCATGGAGTGCATCAATAAATATACTGTTAAAAATATTAACCCGAACATGTTTTCCTTCTTTTTTTATTTTATTTTATCATCGAGTGAAGATAATGAAAAAAAAAAAAAAAAACAAAAAAACAGCGCGTCACACAAAGTAACAAAAGCCACAAAAAGCTGTAATCTATGTGT